TATTTATAATACATGACCAGTATATTTTAGTAAACGATTAATAAAATTACAGTTTGTATTATTGGATCATCAAATTTATTGAAAGCATATTTTCACTATGTCTAATGGGTTAGTGTGATGATCACTTATACATATTACAGGTGTCGGAGGGGAGAAAATTCTGCAAGGGAATATGAGGATTTCGGCGTCATCGAATTCTAGACATAACTTGAGTTTCAATGATCAAGGAGGAATGATTGGTAAGTAATTGTATATAATAGCAATTCATTGTTATGCTATTGTGTTGTATTTTCCCCTTCATTGCTTATTTTAAATTACTAATATTACATTAAATAGTAAAGGGGTGACTCATTAAAAATACTGTCTTCTTTCAAAAGACGTATAGTGAATATATCCCTACTAAAAAGTAAAGAGAGTTGATAGAGGAATGGATCTGAATATTTTTTGTGGGTTTTTTGTTGCGGTAAATTAGACAAGGATGCAATAAGCGCATGAAGTATCGAGGGTTAGTTAAACAAAAAATAGGTTAAATAAAGCGTAACTTTCTATCACCATTAAAGTATGAAATGAGTACGTACTTTATTTTGAATCTACACTACTGAAAAAATAAAGGAGTATTAAATAGTGTCTGTCTTCCCCAAATTACATTTTTCTCGCATACTTTGCAGAAATATATCTGGAGAATATTCTAGCTTTTCCCTCACTTTTAGAGTTGACCAAATTGTTTACATATTGTCCTAAAGGATGAACTATGAATTTTAAGTTACTCGATCATTTGTTAGGAAAATTGAAGTTTAAAAATTATTTTACTCGAGTAATGTGATTTTAGCTAACATATCAACCTTCTATGCAACTGTTTCTCATTTATTGATTGTCTATTTAAGAGAAATCAGTTGGAATATTTGCGATAACTATTACTACAATAATAAAAACGTGACGTTAATGTATTAATTCTGTAATTAATTCTGAACTGATTAATTATGGACCTATTTTTAAGTTACTTACAGTGGTCAAATTCATATTATGTATCTTAGGTTGTAAAGAAGTGAAATCAATAAGAAAATGCATGCTATCCGCCGTTACGAAATCAGTTAACAAAATAAACGCAGAAGAGCGATATGGGATGAAAGGTATGCATTTTTACTTTCCTATTTAAACCATTTACTGTCCGTATTTTAAGTGATAATGATTGACTTATTCACAGCTGATGAATAGACGTTTGTTGCTGACCTTCACTAAGGTTATAACATTTTGAGGTATATTAACTCGCAATTTTTATACTTTCTCCATTTGTTCAGGTTTAAAAGGACTAATCATGCTACGTCAAGATTTAATATCGACTATAACGAAGGCTATAAATCAAATGGATTTAGCTGGTCATAATGGACTCAACGGCACGTATATCTTATTTAATATAATAAAATTATTAATTTTGTGACTACTTCATTATGCAAAATTATTTCTTGAGTCGCATTTTGTCTACAAAAATATTTGTATATTTGATGATTAAGATTTTACATGTTTTTTTCATTGCTTATGTTTCATATTATGTGTCTTACCTTTATATAAACAATGTATTGATACTGTTGATATGTTAGTCTTGAATTTTTCATTCATAGGGTTTGAAGGACTGATTATGCTGCGTCACAATTTGATCGGCGCCATTACGGAGGCAATAGAGAATATCGGGCGACCAAATATGGTATGTACTTTCTATAAGCTTAATGAAGTGAATTTTGTGCAGTGACGTTTTGAAAAATTAGTCGAGTCGAAATCTACTATTATAGGAAAAGGAAGCTGCTTTTACATATATTTTTAATTCTTTTGAGCTGCTGAGATTCCCAACTCGGACATTGTATTTAATTGTTCTACAATTATTGATATTTTTGGATCGTCACTTCCATTTGAAAATCAAAACATTGGAAGAAAGGTCTGCTCTCAGATAATCTTGCGTACACACAATAGCAAGTATTCACAAATATCCATATTTATAGTTCCCGAATCAGCCGTAACAAAATTGATACATGTTTAATTTTTGCATATGACAGTTTGTAGTAACATATCATTTGTCCATATGACAGTAACCTATCGAGTTATACTAAGTTACTATGTTGCATAAAATCTTCGTATTTATATTCAGGCATACGTGCAATACTATTGATTACAGGACTTTTTTACTGCTTTAAAATATAGTTTTATACCAAATGGGACGACGGTGTTCTAATTCTAATGCGATGCAAAGGCCGCCGCGAACTTTGCGGGGAGCTGAAAACACTCCGGAGGAGAATGTTCCTATGTTGCACTCCTGTGATCGCAAGGAAGAAAGAGCGCACCCTTCAGGCGCGCGAACGTTTTAGCTCCCCATTGGTTCGAAAGCACCCCCGCCAATGCGCTCCGAAGTCGATGCTTAGCCATCAGAGACTGGGATGCTCGCGGAAGAGGGCTTTCGTCATTTGAGGGACAGGTCTGCTAAGGCAGATGAAGTCGGAGATGAAATCGAGACAGATGAAATAGAGTATGAAATGAGATCGAGGTTGATACTCACTAGGAGAGCGTGTCGAGTGCTCACTTCAATGATCGAAGTGCTTGGAGTTCACACATGTACCTAAATACTAAGGTGACAAGTTCACTTGAACTTCGGAAACGATTTCGGCATCAAGTGAACCTCGGGAAAGGCAATATTTCGTGCACTTCAGAGTCTCTAACTTATCACTACGTTCTTGAGTGCGTGACAGACACGGTAGCCTTTGATCACCGCATAGCCTTTTCCGGTAATATTCGGTCCGGGACACCGTCACCGCCGAGGACGAGTCGTCGCCACGGCGCAACAAGAAGGTGCCTGAGTGCGTGCGTAGACGCATGGGCCCCTGGTTAGCGGAAGGACTGAGGTGCCGCCTGGAAACGCAGGGGAGCCAACGCGCGCTGCCCGCCCGCCGGCCGGCGAGAATCAGCTGACAGCCACCCTCGCATCGTCACGACTACCTGGAGGTCGAGTGAGGCCGCCCGGAGGTTGCAAGGCCGTGCCGTTATTCAACAAAGCAGTAAGGACATAATCGGTGTTATTACTTGGGGTCACCGCCCATCCTTTTCCCCGCTATGAAAGCGGACGAGACTTCAATGAGAGGGTGTAGTTTGAATGAGGTGGGATGTCATTTTTTTGTGACAGGAATAGAACCTGCCTGTTTGAACCCAAAGAAAAGAGTGTAAATTCCATGTAACCTATAATTCATGTGAATGCTCACATTCATCCTCTTAATCATCATAATTGTTCATTAAATCTGTTATAATAGCATATCTGTTTTATTTTCCGTGCAATAGCTCATCCACAACATCCCGTTAGGTTACAATACTGTAATTGTACATGTTGTACGCCATTTGATTACCAATAATAGATAGAAAATCACACACTCATTTTGAAGAACAAAATATTTCTTGTGTTACAATGCCTGTACATTTATTGAGGGTAACCCATTATTTCGCGTGAAGCAACACTAAAGGAAAGAAAAAGGAAATTCATTCACCATAATTTACCAAAGTTTTAAACTCGTGTATTAAGGACGAAGAAGAGCTCGGTTTCGTTGTAACTGTTGATCCTGACGGTTGAATGGGTAATGTGATTCGTTTTAATGATACGTATGTTATAATCGGTTAATAATTGATTAAACAAATATTAATTAAATGAATAATTATTCATTAAATTTGTAATTATACCTTGAAGTTATGCGCTAAAATGTTCCGAGCGCTCAGCCTTGTTCGCCTGGAGTCATCACGTGTATAGTCCCGCTGAGAACGCGCCGCGTCGCGCGGGTTGCGTCGCGGGGGCGCCACGGCGTTGCGTGCCCGGCGCCCCCGCTCCCCTCGGCCGGCACGCGCCGCGTCGCTGAGCGATCACGTTGCTCCTCCGCGCCCCATTTCCCGCTCGCGCGATTGCATGGAAGCCACTGGGTCGCCTGCTGACACGTGCCGCGCCGGCGCTCTCGCTCCAGGCGCTGGGAGCCCGTGCCCGCGAGCGAGGTGGAATGTGCGAATTTCTAATGGCGGAGAAGTGAATCTGTTGGTGGCCGAAGATGTGAGAAATCAGGACACCGAACTTGAGCTGTCAAACTGGTCAATTCCAGCCTCTAGAGGATGATTGCTGTTCGATTAAACTGCTCCCAGTAGAGGTTTTTTGTCGTCGCTCTATTCGCAAAAAAATCCTTGTGTTTCGTGAAATGTTTTCCTGATCAAAAAAATCTCTCACATCCCTGCCGCAGTCATTCAATTCATTCACGGAAAACGCAGATGTTGGTTTAATGTTTGAACACTTGAAAAATTGGAGTTTTCAGCCCGGTCATTCAAATTATCTTTCCCAGCCGTTTTCAAAGTAAATTCGTGGATGGTGCATTGTAAAAAACATTCATCAAGGGAAGTCACCATCTTTGCGTCAAATAAATGGTAGTTACGTATTCATGACCAAACACATTCAACATTTAAAATGTCTTCCTGAACGGCACTAGTTCCGGGTACACGACGACGACGACGCTATTGACGTGTCCCTTATCTCATGTTACAAATTAGAATATATTTTACTGAAGGTTAATATTTAGTTATTTCGATAGCTCAACTATCTTGCTATTCATTTCTTATGAAGTTATAACTGTATTCTGATAAGACCTTTCTGATATCATTGTGTAGATTTTGTTATTGTGCGTAGTAGTTATAACTCCAGTAACGTGTGAGTTTGACCAATACCGTTACTTCTATATTCCTATTATAGACGGTCTTGTGAAAGCACACTGGTTTCCTAAACAGAAGTTTGCGGGTTCGAACTTACGGGCTAGCTTTAACGCTAAGGGCGATGGATTTTCAAAGGAATGAAAATACGTATTGCCCCGCAACAAGCTTGTAACATACAAAAGAATCCTTTCTAACTCTGGAATCTTCCGACAGTTCCTGTCCAGATTTGATCCCATAATCGCTCGCGATAGGGAGTGACGCAAGAGTAGATATAACTGAGATCGTGTTGTGTTGTCCTGGCAGCAAACGTTTGGGAGTGTAAAAAATGCAATACGGGACTATGTTGGGATTAGATAACAAAGAAACTGTTATTAGTAAGTAGAATTAATGTGATTGAATTGTACAATGTCAGGTTTAGGTGGAAAGAACGTGCCCACATCAAGGTCATTTAGCTCAGTTAAACAATTTCTAAAGTGGCCATATAAATATTCTTTAATAACATACATTAACATTCTCTTTTGATTGAAATTCTATTAAAATATTACACTGCAAAAGAATTTCTATGACTTCAAGTGTGTAAATAATCAGATGCCCAATTTTAAAGAAATATTTATAGTATGACACTATATGATTGAGAATTTTACAGTCAAATTACACATGTTAACATTGAATTCAATATATTTAGCAGTGAATTACAATGTAAAATAATGGTTTGATTAAATTTTAGCTCGTTTGTGTAATGCCAGGCAAACCCCATGAATTAGTTGTACAACATCTTAGAGTAATTTATTTTTCCTTCGTACTAATGAAAGGAGTAGAGAGGGAAGCGCTCCTCTCTGTCAGAGTCAATACATTGCTCATTATTTGTAAAGACAAAGATACCAAGATATTAGATGAATCTTTTTTTTACTCTCTGTGTATTTACGTATTGCGGCATTTACGCACGCATCAGCACAGTTTATTGAGGTCGCCATTGTGCTCGTTATATGGGTGCTTGCGTATGTGCGACCCAGTCTCGGTTCGATAGGGAGACTGTGTCGCCATTTCGCCAGTTTTGCCGGAAGCGCCGGTGGGGGATTAGGTGATACGGCTGGGGGTGACAAATTCGCTACACGGCTTGCTTTAATCAATGGAATATATTTTTTTCAATATTTCGGCATTACTATTTGCTGAAAATATCAGAATTACCCTGTACTCGTATATGAAAAAACACATGAATCTTTCTTTATTTTTAATTCAAAAAAGAATGAAAAAAACCTGAACACTTGAAATCTGGGGAAAATCCTAGGACATTAACTGAAGCATGGCTATTATGTAAATTATAGTATGTTGATAATTTTGTAGAAAATACTTGAAATGTTATGTTTTATTCAATAGGGCATTCCGGTTTTGAGAGTTTAATATATCGAAATATCTATAAATCGGAATTTAAAAAATCAATTTCATTGTGAACTGTGGAGAGGCTTGCTCACCGTTGCTCATTCATGCTCACCGTTTACATCACATCTTCGCTGCTCTGTGAAGCTGCACGCTCATTTTAATTGGATCTCTACATTATTTTCTTCTTACTTTCTCGTTACGAATAAGAGAGAAAGTTGTGTAAATATGCGCCAAAAAACGGCGAATTTTTTGCAGTAAAATTCTTAGTGATGGGTCCTGGTAACGAAAACGTGGATAAATCCAGTGGCTTAATTTTTGAAAAAAATATGGTGAAATGCGATAGAGCCAGAATCCATTTTTGTGAGCCCTTGATACCGAAAAATCGATTAATGGAAAAATGTCTGCCCGTCTGTCGGTCTGACAGTCCGTCTGTGAACAACGCTAGCAGCTAAACCATTCAGCGAATTTCCTCCAAAATTGATATTACCCCATCCATCGGGCTGATGTCACGGCCCCTTGAATTTAATACCGATAATTTATTTTTTGGAGTACTTTACATGAAGTCCTTTGGACATTTTCCAAAATTTCAAAAAATGGCTCGAAATT